TTAACTGATTATAGTTATTTTCTCAGATGTCAATCGTTCACCAGAAGTTCTAGCGGTGTCCTCGGCGGGCACGAGCCCGGGGAGTGAAAACTCCCCCGGCAGCATCGCTGCAGGCCCGCCGAAGCAACAGGTAAAAATAGACAAGGGTGGCCAGGTGAGGGGGCCGGGGTTCCTCCGGTCTAGGAGGTCCAACCCCCCACGGCGCGTTAATGATCCTTCCGCAGGTTCACCTACGGAAACCTTGTTACGACTTTTACTTCCTCTAAATGACCAAGTTTGACCAACTTTCCGGCTCTGGGCGGTCGTTGCCAACCCCCCTGAGCCAGTCCGAAGGCCTCACTGAGCCATTCAATCGGTAGTAGCGACGGGCGGTGTGTACAAAGGGCAGGGACGTAATCGGCACAAGCTGATGACTTGTGCCTACTAGGCATTCCTCGTTGAAGAGCAATAATTGCAATGCTCTATCCCCAGCACGACAGGGTTTAACAAGATTACCCAGACCTCTCGGCCAAGGTGATGTACTCGCTGGCCCTGTCAGTGTAGCGCGCGTGCGGCCCAGAACATCTAAGGGCATCACAGACCTGTTATTGCCTCAAACTTCCATCGGCTTGAGCCGATAGTCCCTCTAAGAAGCCAGCGGCCCGCAAACGCGAGCCGGGCTATTTAGCAGGTTAAGGTCTCGTTCGTTATCGCAATTAAGCAGACAAATCACTCCACCAACTAAGAACGGCCATGCACCACCATCCAAAAGATCAAGAAAGAGCTCTCAATCTGTCAATCCTTATTTTGTCTGGACCTGGTGAGTTTCCCCGTGTTGAGTCAAATTAAGCCGCAGGCTCCACGCCTTGTGGTGCCCTTCCGTCAATTTCTTTAAGTTTCAGCCTTGCGACCATACTCCCCCCAGAACCCAAAAACTTTGATTTCTCGTAAGGTGCCGAACGGGTCATCATAAGAACCCCGTCCGATCCCTAGTCGGCATAGTTTATGGTTAAGACTACGACGGTATCTGATCGTCTTCGATCCCCTAACTTTCGTTCACTGATTAATGAAAACATCCTTGGCGAATGCTTTCGCAGTAGTTAGTCTTCAGCAAATCCAAGAATTTCACCTCTGACAGCCGAATACTGACGCCCCCGACCATCCCTATTAATCATTACGGCGGTCCTAGAAACCAACAAAATAGAACCACACGTCCTATTCTATTATTCCATGCTAATGTATCCGAGCAAAGGCCTGCTTTGAACACTCTAATTTTTCACAGTAAAAGTCCTGGTTCCCCCCACAGCCAGTAAAGGCCATGGGGCTTCCCAGGAGGAAAGGTCCGGCCGGACCAGTGCACGCGGTGAGGCGGACCGGCCAGCCAGACCCAAGGTTCAACTACGAGCTTTTTAACTGCAACAACTTTAATATACGCTATTGGAGCTGGAATTACCGCGGCTGCTGGCACCAGACTTGCCCTCCAATTGTTCCTCGTTAAGGGATTTAGATTGTACTCATTCCAATTACAAGACCCGAAAGAGCCCTGTATCAGTATTTATTGTCACTACCTCCCGTATCGGGATTGGGTAATTTGCGCGCCTGCTGCCTTCCTTGGATGTGGTAGCCGTTTCTCAGGCTCCCTCTCCGGAATCGAACCCTAATTCCCCGTTACCCGTTGCCACCATGGTAGGCCACTATCCTACCATCGAAAGTTGATAGGGCAGAAATTTGAATGAACCATCGCCGGCGCAAGGCCATGCGATTCGATAAGTTATTATGAATCACCAAGGAGCCCCGAAGGCATTGGTTTTTTATCTAATAAATACACCCCTTCCGAAGTCGAGGTTTTTAGCATGTATTAGCTCTAGAATTACCACGGGTATCCAAGTAGTAAGGTACTATCAAATAAACGATAACTGATTTAATGAGCCATTCGCAGTTTCACCGTATAGATTGCTTATACTTAGACATGCATGGCTTAATCTTTGAGACAAGCATATGACTACTGGCAGAATCAACCAGGTAGCTAACTTTTGAGCCCGGAGGCCGAAGGCACCCCGGGCCTGAACCCCCGGAGGGGACAGGAAGTAGCTAGACGGAAGGAGTTCCCGGTTACAGAAACTCACCGGGGACGACCAGGCGGCGCACCGCGTTGGACATCCGGACGGTATTCAATTGCCCCCACTGAGATTTTCAGAGGACGGTCCGCGGCAGGGCCGGGCTCCAACCCGCGAGGGGAGCCCGTCTGCCGCATCGGTCCCTCCGATGGAGGATCACGGCCCCAGACACGCTGACGAGCAGCGGCTTCCGGAGCCGACTTTCCCCCTGGAAATCTGATTCGAAAACGTTCGCCAGCGGCCAACAATCGACAGACCCCAACCGGAACCGGAGCCCGCGAGGGACTCCGGGATTCCGACACCCGCCGCGAGACCCGCTTCTCCGGAATGGAGGGAAGGGCAGGCGGCGGCAGGTGCTCGAGCCCGCCGTGGATTGAAGGGCCCACCGGGTTCTCCGATGATGCCCTTAACCATACGTGGAAGGCTCTATCCGACATGGAACTAAGGGTGTTTGGTGGACGACCGCGCAGGATCGAGAAAACCGGGCGTCGAGGGGTCCGGGAGCTCATAGAGTACAAGCCGCCCAGGTACCCCTCTCCGCCGCCGTCAATCTCGCCGCGATGCCACCTGTAGAGAAGCGCATGAGCTTCTTGCCTACACATACTCACCGGACGCTTCTCGGGTCGTCTTCTGCCGGACTGGGCTCCTGGTACTGGAAATGACGGTGGGGGGGATGGTTTTCTATGGGAAAATAGAAACTGGGCCACCTCAACATAGGAAACGGGCGGGATTTTTCCGTCATTGGGCCTGGAAAAGTGGGACTTGGTCGTTTTGCTCTATTGCCATAGTCACCGGCGTGGGATACATACGGCCCTGTCTATCCGGCTAGGACTGTGGTCCGGCCGGAGCGCGCGAGCGGCAACATCTCCGCAGGGCGTCGGAGATGCACCGCGCCTCCATCACGGCCGGACTTTGTTCCCGGTCAGGAGGTTCTCAGGTTCACTCCGCGCCCTGTTAACGGTCTCCGGGAGCATCGCGCGATGTTCCGGCCTCTTGCTGACACTTCTCACCCGCCGGCCGCCCTCGCGCTACTGCCCGGGCGTGTCACCGGACAACTCTCCCTCTCCGGAGCACCAGCCCGGTCAAAGGTCCGGACACCCAACTGTACCCTGGCAAACGGGCACCCGGGGCGTGACCCGGCGTTACACGCTTTCGCGGGGAGCCCTTCGCGCCGGGCTGGCCCGCGCCGGTGTAGACGGGCCGGAGGACTACGCTCCCTGATTAAGAGCTTTAACCGGACCGTCCTGAAAGCCCCTGGGTACGTCAAGGCCGGCTTCGGGCGCCGCGCCGGCCCGGACCACTTGAACACCCGCTCGCGCGCTCGCGCCTCCGGCCCGGGACTACTTTTAACCCGCCCTGGCTAAAGACGCCCGGAGCGTCACGCGCCATCCCGGCCGCGCACCTCCGGCCCGGGCTTCTTCCGCGGTTAAGGCTTTTAACCAGTCCTGGTTAAACATCACCGGCGCGCCATTTGAGTTCCCCGCCTCCCGCCGGTGACGCCATGACTACACTCACAAACATTGTATCTATCTTCAGACAGGTGTATATCTCTGTGGGTGTGAGAATTTTCTAATTTTGCATATCTGAAATTGACAAATGTATAACAATTAGCTTTACAGATACTAGGAAAACCCTGAGAACTAAAAGTTTTCAGGTAGATGTCATAGTCTCTGACTGCATACATCTATAATGGAAGAATAATAATAATAATAAGTATTTATACGTATGTATGTACATATGCATCCAGATACATATATCACTGTGGATCGGTCTGCATATATATTCAGACCCGTGAGACACATGTCTATGACAATCCCTATTAGGGTATAAATAAAATATCCTTCCCTTGCGGATATACTTGAGTAGACAGCAGTGACACTCCGCAAATATAGGAAGAAGAATTGAGATATAGCTTCAACTGACTGATCAGAGAAGCGTGTTTGAAGCAGTTCTACCGTTGAGAACTGTCTGAGCATGTCAAGTGAGGTCTTGTCACCGCATTTATCAAGACATTAACATTGCCATGCCGGACTATTACCTTCTCTGGACACCGGGCACTGCGCCCGCTGCGGACTGCTCTAGTGACCCTCCGGCCCTCGCCCGCGCCCGCACCTCCGGCCCGGCCTGTTTCCCCGGTTAAGGCCCTTCCTTAACCACACTTCGTTAAAGACCCCCCCCGGAGCGTCACGTGATATCCCGGCCCTCGCCCGCGCCCGCACCTCCGGCCCGGCCTGTTTCCCCGGTTAAGGCCCTTAACCACACTTCGTCAAAGACCCCCCGGAGCGTCACGTGATCCCTGAAAAAAGCAATTATACCCTCAAAAATTTCGCGGCTGCGCCGCTATTAAAGCACCCCGGGCGGCCGGAGGCCGGCCGCGGTCCGGGCGGGGACAGGAAAAGGAAGAGAAAAGGAAAAGAAAAGGAAAAGAAAAGAAGAAGGAAAAGGAAGAAGGGGAAAAAAGAAGAAACGGAGAATTGAGAACGCAGCAAGCAGACTCAAAAATCAAAGCGGTTTCTATAATAAACAAAGGCACATCAGATGGCCGCTGTGCAATGACCCAGGCCACCCGCACTGCATGCACCGCCTCACTCTCCCCCTTCTCACCATCTATCCCACCCCTTCGGCCCCCCGGATCGACCGGAGGCTGTTCAAACCAATGGGGGGGTGTTACAACAAATCGAGCCAAGGATCGGGCTGACGCTCAGCGACTCGTAACAACAAGGCTACTTGACCGCTTACACGACCCGCTTGGTCATTCAGTCGTCTGCAGAGGATCTATCCCCGCGCGTGGTGACATTGCAATCCGCCGGCAAGCGCCCGGGGGTCTCTCCCCGGACACCGTCGCCGGCCTGCTGAGGTTCTGGGCCCGGAGGCCTATTCGTATCCAACTACGACGTGCGGGGC